CCACCTCCCACTTCTTCAGAGGCACCTTAAAATATGTAAACACAGCTGTGAGAATAAAGCTATTGGGAATGGCATGAGACTTGGTGCCATTTATAACCCTATCAAGAAGCTGGATTATAAATCCAGGCCAATTAATCTGCTTCCCACTATCCAGACACTCCATCAGTACCAAGTCCATGAAGTTTGCAATGTGCCTCCTTTCTTGCCTTGGCAGAACGCATTTGATGACAAATTCGAATAGCACCTTTTAAGGTGTCTTCATCGCACTCTTGTACACAACCTTGGGCTGAGTTTCCTCCTTATGATCACTGAATCTTCTGGTGATTGAAAGGGCAGTAGGAATATTTTCTAGGCTTGGCCACTTAAGCTTTTTGTAGTCATTGTACCCCTCAGCAAGTACACCTAGAATTTCACCCAACTCCTTCATATATTGAAAGAGATTTGCACCCCTTTCACCAAGATGGTAACTCTTCCATCCTTCACTGCAGCATTTGCCATAAACTCAACAATTTCATCCCTGGCCAACTTGCCATCCATCTGAAGGACCATGTCTTTCCAGCCTTGCACTTCTAATTTCTCTAACAGCAGCACTATCACTTCCTCCTCCAAATCCTTGAGGAGCCTACCCTTCAGAATAGTTAGTTTGCCAAACTTAGCCATTTTTGTCCTTTTCACTGTCTGATTCATTTGCCTATTCTCCACTCCATTCCTCTTCTTCAGCAATTTTTACTTGTTTGGTTTTCACGGCAAATTTGGTCCTTTTTGCCAGGGTGGATGGTTCAACATACTTCTTAGTGGAAGTCTTGGCTTTCTTGGGCTTTGAAGTTTGAACCTCCACTTTAGCAATCACATCTTCATCTTGATGGACCAGGTCCATCTCATCCACATCAACAGCCTCAACAGGCTCTCCCACCTTCTTCTTCCCTTTGTCTATCCTTTTCTTTTTGTCTTCTTCTAAGGCTCTCTGTAGCTCTTCCTCATTCTGCTTTAGCTGACTTCTTGTGGCTCTTCCTCTTGTGGGAGAAATTTCAATAGTGTCAAAAGGGGCAACCTTCCTTTTCTTATTAGCCCTAGCAGTTCCAGGGGTCTTAGCCTTGGAATTTCTCTTCTTCTTGGGGTTGTAGCTGTCACCTACTTTCTTCAATAGGTCTGCGAAGGTTTCTTCAACTGATGAACTAGGTTCATCTACTTTTTGTCCAATGTTAACCAGCCCTTCAGCGGCTTCGCCAGACCCACTTCCCCCTATTTTCTTGACACTTTCCTCCACTTTATCTGATTATACTCCACAAATAGCCATTATAGTTTTATCAGAAGTGGGTGAAGAATTAATCACTCTCTTCCCCATTCCCCTTTCTTCACTTAGAACACCCTCACTCTCGTTTTCTTTTTATTTTTTATTTTTACCACCTCTCTTTCTGGACTCAAAAGTTTCTACATCCACCACAGATACAACCAAAATAAACCTATTCTCCAGATCTTCAGCCAAATCAGAAATGACCTTAATAGTAGTATTTGGGCCAGAAGTTACCCGTTCAGTATCAGAATACCCGGTTTATTCCCCCTCAGTAGCAGACTTGAATGATTCCTCAGAATTCTGGGGTTCTTGGGCTTGGCTAGCTTTCAATTGTGCATCTAATTTCTTTGATAATTCCCTCTCAGTCACTTTCTTGTGAGTAAGCATCTTTACTCTTCTTTTCTTAGGATAAGGAGTGGTTGAAGATGAGAAGCATGATGGGGGAGTACCAGAGGGGTTAGTTATTGTGTGCTTGGTTCTTGGAAGAAAGAAGAAAGGTAGATTGAAATTTGGAAGATGATAGAAGATGTAAATTATTTTTGACGGTTTGAGAATTTTGAAGAGATGGAAGAGATGATGATGATCAATTTAAAGAGAATGGGTAATTAATGGGTAACGACAAGCTCATCAGTCTTTTAGAAGTCTAATCAAACTGAAAGTCAATTTTGAATAGACGGTAGAGTCATCCCTAGAATCTAGGTGATTTAATTTGGTTAGGATTCTTTTGAACGGAATTGGTTCAAATTAATTGGATAAGGTTAAGAGAAAATTAGACTTAGGTAGGACTCTGCTTAGTATTCAAATATTATTATTTCAAATTATACAGAGTGTAGAAAATATACTATGTTATCTTAATGAACTAGGTTCTTTACTGATAATTCTCTTGTGTAAGTTTAGATTTGCCAAAATAGAGAAAATATCATTAGAGATTAATGAGTCATTTTAATACATGACACAAGAGTATACTATTTAAAGTATGAGACTGAGCAAAAATTAGTCTAATTATATACACATTTTACAGATTTTCTAACCAATTTTTTTTCTTCATTTTTTCATTATTCAAATTTTTTTCATTTTTTTCGTTAACCTTGAACTGGACCTTTTAGGTCATCTTAATCATCCCTAATTCCAACTTGTTCCTCTCAAAGTGATCTCTACTTAAGGCTTTTGTGAAGATATCAGCAATTTGCTTGTCAGTAGCACAAAACTCCACAGTGATTAGGCCTTTCTCATAGTTGTCCCTCAAAAAATAGTGCCTAACATCTATGTGCTTAGTTCTTTTATGATGAACCGGGTTCTTGGTCATACTAATGGCACTAGTGTTATCACAAAATATGGGAATGCAACCAACATCAATTTCAAAGTCTAATAATTACTGTTTGATCCACAACAATTGAGCACAACATGAAGCAGCAGCAATATACTCAGCTTCAGCATTAGATAAAGCCACTGAATTTTGCTTTTTGGTAGCCCATGACATAAGACATGAACTAAGAAAGTGTGCCATACCTAAGGTGTTCTTCCTATCCACAAGGAAACTTGCATAATCAGCGCCAGCATATCCCACTAGGTTAAAATTACTACCTTTTGGATACCAAAGACAAAGGTCAGTGGTGCATTTCAAGTATCTCAATATTCTCTTGACAACAGTCAAGTGGGCCTCATTTGGATTTGCCTGAAATCGAGCACAAAGACCTACATTGAAAATAATGTCAGATCTGCTAGCAGTGAGATATAAAAGAGAACCAATTATTCCCCTATACAACTTCTGATCAATATATGAACCAGGTTCATCTATATCCAATTTTGTGGTTGTTGCTATAGGAGTATCGATTTCTTTTGATTCTTCCATTTTAAACCTTTTGAGCAACTCTTTCTCATATTTCTACTGATGGATCATAGTTCCATTTGAGTTTTATTTAATTTGTAAACCTAAAAAGAAATTAAGCTCACCCATCATACTCATTTCAAATTCCCTCTCCATTAGTTTAGCAAATTCCTTACTTAGTTTATCAGTAGTTGCTCCAAAGATTATATCATCAACGTATATCTGCACTACTAGAAGGTCTTTACCTTTTTCTTTAAATAATAAAGTGTTATCAATTTTACCTCTCTTGTAGTCATGCTCAAGCATGAATTTTGATAATATTTCATACCATGCTCTAGGAGTCTGCTTGAGCCCATAGAGTATCATGTCAAGTTTGTACATATGATCAGGACACTCCTTGCTTTCAAACCCCAGAGGTTGCTTGACAAACACTTCTTCCTTTACATAGCCATTGAGGACGACACTCTTAACGTCCATCTAGTGAAGAGTGAATTCCATGTAAGCAACAAAGACTATGAGGAGTCTTATTGCTTTCAACCTTGCAACTGGAGCAAAAGGCCTCATCATAGTCTATGCCTTCCTCTTGGTTATATCTTTGAACCACCACTCTTAACGTACAATTAAAGGTTTGCAGGTTAAATTGTAAGAAAGCAATAATACTTGTGTGAAAGTCCTGGAAGAAAAGGAGATTCACCAAGAGAGGATCTCCCAACTGGAAACTGATCTAGAAGCGTCAAATGATCTTTGCAATGAGATGAAGCTTAAGTTAGAGGATTATCAGGCAAAAGAGGATAATATCAGGGAGAAAGAAGCTGGAGTTTTGTCTCTTAATTCTAAAAATGGAGGAAGGGGGTATTTTAGAAGGAATGAATAAGAACACAATTAAACATAACCCATTTTGTACTGTTGGGCGTTGGGAAGGGGGTTTTCACGCTCCAGTGCGTCGTGTTCCTCACGCGGGCTACTGATTAGGACCGACTAACGCCACATAGGCATGGTCAATGGTCAAATGTATTTATTAGTTACGGAAAAACTGAGTTCAAGTGTTCAAATGGGAAAACTCAAAGTTTGTGTATCGGCTTTAAAAAACCCGACAAGTTTAAGTGGCCAGGAAGCCATTTCACCCTTACCAAAACTAGCCAACGAAAATTGAAAAACCAAATAATAGGGTTCTTTCTCTCAAAGAATCACATGCAAAAATCACCTTCCATATTTTTAAGTGTGATTAGCAACACTATATACAAGTCGGAAAGGAAATTTTATGGATGAGGTAACAAATAAAGTGATGAAATACAAAAACTATATACAATATTTTAAAAATCTAAACAAAAAAGGAACTTTTTCAATTAGTATAGTTGAAATTCATTGAAAATATATAGATAAGTCAATATTCAAAATTTGAGAAAAATTGGAAGTGATTTGGACTGGTTTTGTATCAAAATTCATAATTAAATCGAGTTCAAAAAAGTCTTCTGCGACACATGTATCAAACATGTATCACACATGTATCTCACACACATGTATACATAAATATACATGTGATACACAATAGATACAAATATGATGCATATGTGATACATAAATGATACACAGTGTAATACACATATCATTTTTCTCATGTTCATTTTTTACCGAATTTTCAATTCAAACCACCTCAAAACTTCACCAAATCATCCCAAAACTGAGATTCAAGCTCCTTAAATTGTGCCAATCTATTCTAATAATACCCACTCAAAACAAAGTAAAAATTTGATATTTTTTTGCTACAAATAGCTAATTGGCTAATTTGACTAATATTAGTAATATTCTATCAATTGGCCAATTTTGTAATGAATTACCATGTCATAGTTGATCGTTTACCCACAAAAATTTCATATTTCACAGGTCACACATATAGAGGCAGGGAAAAGAGAAAAAGTTGAACGAAGAGAAAAATGGCAGAAAGGAGGAATAAGGATGGCAAGAAAAAGGAAAAGGGAACAGGGTGGCCATCAATCAAACTCAAGTTTAATCTTCACCTCAATCGCCTCAAAGATAACGATCTTATTACTGTATGAATTCTTCCCCTCTNTAGATAGGTTATCAATTCAAATAGCTTTGGTGATCCTGTTTTAAATGAGCTAATTCTTGGTTCAGCTTTTAATGAAAATATCAAACTTAAACATTATTTTAAAGAATGAAATCAAAGTTGAGCAAATCTGGAAACTCGTTGTTTTTACAAATTTACAATTGAAACATTTAAGTGTATAACTTGAGATTTTGCTGCCTTAGTACATGCATTTGTTTGACACTTTGTTTTATTGATGTTGAAGTGTGTGTCCAGTTCATCTAAAATCCTAAGATATTAGAGAGATGCACACCTTTATTTACTTAATTATGGATTCAACACGCCTCTCATTTGCGGGGCTTGTTCTTCTTCATGGGCCAAGCATAGTAGAAATTCTTTTTGATAACGAGTGATGGTGAGACTCGAAACCAGAACCTTTGTCTGGACCATGTTGAAGTGTGTCATCATCTCATCTAAAAGTTTAAGTTGTAGAGAATGCATACTTTTTCTTACAAGAATAATGCATACTTTTATTAACTTAATTATTAGATTTTTGAAAAGGTAACATGTAAATAAATGAAAATACAAAATTTATTTATTTAATTATGTCTTCAACAATTGACAAAGAGTAATTTGAGCATCATGCTCTTGCTCCTTTTGTTGAATTAGCAATTAGAAGTGGATGTTTCCTCAGTAAATCACTTGTTATTTCAAGACAGTGGAAGTTTTTGTGGTGCAAATATTATGAGTAAAGCTTAAATCAAGTGCAATTTATTATTACATGTTCACATTAAAGATTGGTTCATTCTTCCGATAAATGTTGTTGGTTTTGCTATACTGATGATGAGTTTCTACCAATCCTTTGTTGAAACAAGGATGTTCATGGTAAGGTGAAAGAAATAAAGAGTAAGATTGCTTATCTACAGAAATTGGTATAGATTATAGAATGTTATAAGTGAATCTAAAAGGTCTCTTAAATTGTTGAGAGATATTGGTGTGCTTCACTTGTAAGACTTCAGTTGAAATTGAAGATTCCATATTTGCTAGACATCCAAATAAGAAATCTTATCAAATAAATTGAGATGGAGGGAGCGTTTTTCTGGTGAAGAATCCCCCCTCCTTGTTCTTCTCTACTCTAAGAAATTCAATTTTGATAGGTCACCATATCCACAACAACAACTACGCCTCAATTCCAAACAAGTTGATGGTTGGCTCTGTGAATCCTCACTGACCACGTTACTCCATTTAAATCATCTCATGCCAAGTTTCACCATGTTCAATCAAAATGAAAACATAAAAACACATCCCTTATGAGATTCAATTACGACTTCTTCTTGATGTGATTATTAAAACAGAGAAACTGAATAATATCATGGATTTAGTCATGGATAAAATCATCCAACTCGCCTATTAGGCAACAATCAAACTGGACCTTTTTTGCTATCACATTAGGAAATAAGAATTGCTATCTTTGCTTGAAGTCATGATGTTTTGTCAAGTTCTTAGCTTGGTGTTTAAGTGCTATTCTTGACTTATCTGCTTCTAATACTTCCTTTATTTGCTTAAGGTATTCAGGTTCAGAATTTCTTTACTCCAGCTGAATCAAAGGCTTTTGTCAAAGCTGCTGAGTCACTTGGGTTTGTACACCAAGGAAGCCTTGGTCCTGCATACGGCGAAGCTTATAGAGACAATGATCGTGTATCCATGCATGATCCTGATCTCGCAGATGCAATATGGAGATCTGGACTGAACAGATTATTTTCGGACTTAAAAATTCGAGGCAGAGTTGCTATTGGGTTGAACCCTAATATTAGATTTTACAGGTTTGGTGTCTTTTCGTCATAAAACTGCTCTATTATTATGGCATACTATGTCAATTACCGACTTAGATACAACAATCTGTGATCTTTTGCCATGCTGAGTAGTAAAACATGTTTAATTTAATAAAAAAAATTGGCATATTTAAGCTTTATTAAGGTTGATAAACAGTGACGAGATTGAATAGGTTATAATCGACCATGTAGACGAGAGAATGGATCTACAACCTACAAGACAGCAGAATAATCCAATTGAGGGCTGATTTTTCAGGGTTTTCTGGGTAAGGTGCTGATAGTTACTTGCTTTGAAGGGTTGTGAGGTAGTCAACAAATAGGTGATTATTTAAAGCTTACAGAAGCAAAGAAGTAAATAGTAAGCACTCTTGATTCCAAAACAGTTTTTGAACTCACAAGTTACAACCAATTTTATCTTTTCAAACAAGCAGTACAGTAAATCTATGCTAGATAGGAATAAAATGAAGGAACAAACCTTGTGGTATATATACTCTACTGTGCCAGAAAAAAATCTTAGGATACCACAAAATACAACTTAAGGTTTCTCTTCCTCCCCCCGCCCGTAACAGAAAGCTGGCGTCGCCGCTACTAAAAAAAAATGAGGAAAACGTTGGGCAGCTGAAATGAAATACATGGCATTTGAGAGTGGATATTGGAAAATAGAAGAAAATAATAAGGAAAACGGAAGAAAGAGAAGAGGGATGGTAAAATTAACAATAGGAAGTTGCTTTGGGGGGGNGCTGATGTTGTGCCAGTGAGGAAGAAAAGGACTTTATGGCACTTCTCCCTTTATCTTAGCTATTGAATTATATACTTTAGTTCTCTATTGCTTAATGATGTCTTAACATAGTGCAATAAGTTTCATATTCTTTTGTATACTATAGGTTTGACTTGTTTGATAATATCCTTAGAAAATTTCATGTTTATTACTATAAGTTTTCATGTTAGAGATAGATTGCCCACGTCTAGTTTAAATTGTACGAGCAGCAATCTGAATTGTTTGATTAATATGTTGTATTGCAATTAATTATAATTCTTGGCTATGACATTATTAAACTATCTAAAACTATACAAGTAAACATAATATAGATTGGAATTTTTTTTAGTGTTACTCTTCTCAAATTGAAAAAGAAAAGGTGCTGTACTTTGGAAGGATGGTATATTGAATTGTCACCTGAGTTTAGGAGAGGGACAACAGCTGCAATAGTGATGTTTTGTTTGTGGGTAAGTCATGATCTTCAAATCCAAGACGGCTCTTTGTCTTTTTCCATTGTTCAGGGAGGTAGAGGGCTAAGTTGTTCCTTGAATAACCTAGATGTAACTAATTATAAACTTGCATCATGTTAGCTGACTCAGATCCCTGAATTATAATATAGACTGGAGTTTTGTACCTGTACTTATTCTGCAGCCCCTTGGTGCTATTTTATTGGATTGTAATACCTTACTTCAAAAAAGAACCTTGTAAACTGAAAATAGAACATATAACTAAATAAAAACTACTAAAACATGCTTCAAAGCTTTGCCCATGTAAAATGATAAATCCTATTATATCCAGTTCAAAACAAAAAGAAGAAGAAGAAGAAGAAGATAAATCCTCTTGTATATCCCTCTAATGTAATGGCCTTTGCAACCATTGTGTTTCTCATTTCCTTTTTCCAGAATACATGTTAAGATGGACAATATAACAAATGTTTGATCCTCTTCAATAACTGTTGTTGCTCGCCAGGTACAAGGCTGGCCAGAGATTTGGACGGCATATTGATGAAAGTGTTGACATTGGAGAAGGGAAGCGCACACACTACACTTTGTTAATATATTTAAGCGGTGGTTCCAAATCTAAAACCAAAGATGATAAAGAATCTCAGGATTCTTTGTCTGAGACCCTTGTTGGAGGGGAGACTGTCTTTTATGGTCCAAGAAATGCTTTGGTTGCTGAGGTACCATTCCTTCCCTTTTCAGCAATGCGCCAACTCCCACTCTCTCTTTAATGTTCTCATTCCCGATTCCCCTTCACACATATATGCATGTAATACTTATATCGGGATTGTTATCACATTCTGTTCATATTTCAATTCCTCCATATTAGATAAGCAATCAATCATGATTTTCTCATGCTACTTATACTATTATATTGCATAGTCTGGCATCAACTAAAGGACAATGACATGATTTTCTTGAATAAGTTATCTGATTTTGTTATGCTATTTATACTCTATACAGGTACCTCCAACTGAAGGAATGGCTCTTGTTCACATTCATGGGGATAAATGTATGTTGCATGAAGCTCGGAATGTCACTAAGGGTATCAAATATGTTTTACGATCTGATGTTGTATTTGCTTGAACAAATGCCAAAATGTTGACGAGTCATATACTTTATCTGCTTCTTCTCGAGTTTAATGTGTGGAAAATCTCTGTCTTTTTGTAATTCACCTTCTAACTGTAACTTCATTCTTAAGTGGAACCTCTGCTGTATTGCTGTATTCTGCAATAATATTGTGGATTGTGGCATAAGCCTATAAAGAATTTTAATGATACTTTTTGTATTACTGTGGGAAAAACACTTTGCTTAAATACTACGTACCTATCTTTCAAAAGGGGAAAAAAAGGAAACTTCAAACATGGCTCAGATACTGAATCTTTCGCGAGTATGCGCTGGTGAAAAGATTACTTTCTTAGTGTAATAATATTTAAAAGCAAAATTTAGGATGTATGGAATTTTTTACTTTTGTATTTTTATTTTTGGAGGTAGCTGAGTTGGTTGCTTCTTACTGATCTGTTACTGTTAATTAGAGATTATAATTGATGTCTGTATTTTAATCTATTGAGATTCTTCAGGAGAAGCTAGTATTTGTAGGTGGAATACCTTCATTTCTGGAGACTTCCACCCTACCCCTTCTCTATCTACGAACTAGTAGTAATATAATTCAATTTTGATGAGAGTTTTTGAAAAGAAGTTAGTTCATGTTTATTCAATACAACCAAAAGGAGAGATAATGAAGTTATTCTTCCTGTGCTACCTCTGCATTAAGCCTCACAATTGAGAGAATTATTAACCATGAAAAGCAAGCAAACAAACAAACAAACAAGGGTCCAAAAAACACTCATTTTCAAACACACACAACAAATGTAAGGCCGGTTTCTCAGTTAACAGCTCTGCTGTTGAGTCTAACTTCATCATTTTCTTGAACACCAACATTTCCAAGCTTGACCATTGAAGCCGCGAACTCCCAGAAGAAGGAAGATTGGTCATTGGCAAATGCTGTAACAATCCAACCAGTCCTATAGTCATTCAGCAAACTCTGGTCTGATGCAAAAACACCTTTGCCTGCAACAATTTGCTTGTAATAGTTGTTGTCGAACACTGATGAAGTTGTGTCCAACAACTGTCCTGCATTGCTATCTCTATTTGGTTTCGGGCAGTTCTTCTTTAGGCTCTCTGCAAACACTGCATTCAAGCTGGGATCAGTGTCATGCACTGAGCTGAAGTTACGAAGCCTGGCTTCAAAAGAAGAGCAGTGTGAAAATCCAAGTGTGTGTCCACCAGAGAGAGCAACCAAATCTTTCACTCCCAATCCCCTTTTGGCAAAGCTCTGAATCAATTGGCTCGTGTTGAATGATGGAGCTGGTAAGTTAATTGTTTCATTTGCCCTTGATATTCTCCCATCTTTCCTTCCTTTTAGTACGTTCCAATGTGGACCTCCAGACTACAAAATTGTCAAACGTGAAATAGTTATGAGCTTGGTTGGAAAAATGCACCATCAGTAATCTTGAATATAAGGCTGATACAGGCTATATATAACATATTAAAATACATTGATCGTGTAAAAATATTTACATTGTCAGTATATATAAATTAACTCCTTTAGTTATACAGTCAAACCTCTCTATAACAACTTAATTTGTTCCGGATATTTTTGATTGCTATTAGTCTTAGGATAAGCGCTTTGCGTGTGTATCCTATGTCATAAATATATAATTTTTAAAAATTAGTTCACTATATTAAATAATTTATTTGAGTTATTGAACAAAATTAACGAAAAAAATCTAAGCTCCTAAAAATATAAATATTAATCTAATTTATCTAGTTCAATAAATAAAAAAGTTATGTCTCATATATACGTTATTGTAATTTCTTAGGACATATGTGCATGTCTTATGAAAATTACTATTAATTTTATTAGGTCTAATAAAAAAAACAAATTAAAACTAAAACATAATCAATTTTGCTCTACTTTTTATTTTTATTTTTTTTCACCATCAATACTCTTCCTATAGAAATAAATTTATGTATCTTAAGACTTTTATCAATTTAATTTTTTTTACTTATATGATGATTTTAAAAAAGAATTAAATTGAATTATTTTGCTAATTACTCTCTCCTTTTTACTTTTTGAGAGTTAATTGAATAATATTTGAAGCTAAATTGGATTGGATAAACTCGACATTTTAAAGTTGTAATTTAAAGATACAAAAACTATACAAGAATCACTATAGGTTGCAATTCTTCTCGTGCCAATATGATGAAAAAAATATTTTAAAATTTTGGTAGTTTGAATCTCGAAAAATAAAAGATTTTATATAAACTGAATTGAAAGAGTAATTAATCCAAAGACTTAATTATTTGTTCTAACTATTAAAAGGAAATTATTTCATTTTTTCATTGGGGCTTCATACTTTTATAATAATATATAAAATATAGATTATTTTTTAACTCCTTCCCCACTCGAATAATTTTTTATTTTACTACTTTTTTTAATAATATTTGAAATATACATTCACTAATTTAAAAATATTAAATATAAACCTCTCACTTTTATTTAATAATTTACGGAAGCTTTCCCTTAGAATTCGAAGTGCCCTATAAGCAAATGAACGAAAAGATACCTAATACTCCTAGGTAATATTCTATTTCCCCAAAACAATATTTTTTGAATGTCCTAAATATTGGGATTTTTTATGTAATTTAAATAAGGAAAGTTTTAATAACCAAAATTTTAGGTGATTTCAAAGTCATAAAATTTAGGAAAATAACTAAATTACGATTTTGTCTAATATAAAAGCTATTTTTAAAGGGTAAAAAAGGCGAACGACATTTCGCTAAGGGCCTTCGTGCTTTTAATATAATACTAGTCTCTATACTCGTGCGTTGCACGAATATTTTAAGTATCACATAGTTTGTACAAAAGATAATAAAATTCCAATCGCATATATATATTCTAATAGTATCATTTGTTAGAGCAATATAATGGAATTAATTAATGCATCTAATTAACTACCATTGTTAGTAAACTAATATGTCAATTCAAAGCGTAATGAGATATTTCTTTGTGATTTATATTAACCCAAATGATCTTTCGGGTCGACGGAAGAGTTGCCAACACCAACACCTTCCGCGGCTGATCATCGAAAACACATATATTTGATGTCAACTATCAACCTAAAATTGAGTCCCCCCCCCCCCCNCACACACAAAGTAATTAAATGATTAGACATGTTGTTCAAACTTTACTACAGAAAGTTCCATCAAATTTATGAATTCTTGTGCAAATTAATTTGAGTTATTGAGTGGATAATTTACCATTGTTTAACAATATTGTGTGAAATTAGTCTGAATTAGAGCTTTAGTTTAAGGAATTCAATGCCCAGCTAGTTTAATTCAAAATATTAAATACTATTAGACAGTCCTAATGCATTATGATTTTATTCAACGTAAAATTATATCTGGGAAAAATAATTTAAATCGAATCCCAATAAATTTGAATTTCTTCTACATGATTTAGTTTTGATCGTGCGTTGTTAATATGATCCTTTAATCCTTCCTTTGATATACAATTATGTTAGCTTATAATTATTAATATAGTTATTTTATTAATAAAAAATTAAAAGTATTAATGTCCGAAACTTAAAAAAATGACCAAAACCAGATTTTTAAAACTATAAAATCGAACACAAAACCGTTAAAGTACATTGGATTTGTAAAAGAAAACACAATATAAAATGTACAAAAATTCTTCTGAATAACAATGCGTTGTTAATTTCAAGTACCAAACTCAAAATGCTTTAAGAAAACAAATTAATCGAAGCTTTATGTTTCACGTCTTGGAATTCAAAACAAAAACTAACAAACTTTCATCAATTTTGTAGAGTAATTATTTTAATTTTAATACTTTGAAAATATCTGACTATATACTATTGAGCTAACTTCCTTCAATTCTAGCGTATTTGTTCCCTGTTTAGCTAGATGAAAATTTAGAATATTTAATTTTAGTATTTACTTTTTCTTATTCCATTCATAATTCTATTTCTTCAACTGTTAAGTCCTTATTCTACTACAACTCTTCGTCCTAACGTGTTTTATTTCCGGTTGTGTCCTTCCCTTATAAGTTGTTGTCAAAATTAATATAAATAGTTAATGGTATAAAAGTCGATTAATATTTTAGGAATATTTTAGTCCGTTGACATTTAGCATGAAATATTCGTGCTTTTTATAATAACTAGTCTTAGAGTACGCGCTTTGCGAGTGTAATCTATATCTATAAATATATAATTTTTGTGAAATATAAGTAAATATAATTAGACAATAAAAATGATGAATGTTATGTTCTTTCAAGTTAGCTGGCTCAAAAAATAAAGAAATCATGTCCTGCAAAAGTTTACTTATGTCTTATTTTGATTTATGAGGACTTATGTGTGAATACCTTATGAAAATTATGTTATTTAGAGATTACAGAATGAAAAGGTTGGCCATATACTTCCTAAAAAATTGATAATGACAATGTTAAGTCTAAAAATTAACCAATGTTGAGTTAATATTTATAATAAACAATCTAATATAAAAAGGAACGTTTTTATCTATAAAACTTAGTGCAACAAAGAAAAAAATTACTAACTCATTTATAATATACTGTATCTTACTACTTTATCCTTATATTTTAAATTTGTATTTTCATCAATTTGACTCTTGATACTATAATATGATCGATTTACTCTAGTTTCGAATTTTTTAACTGGCAACGCTCTTCTTACAAAAAATAATTATGTACCTTAATAGTTTTGTCAATTTCACAAATAATTTACTTATATGATAAATTTGAAAAAGAATTAAATGAAGACTAATTATTTGTTCTCAACATTAATAGAAAACTTTTAGCTTTTGTTAATTTAAATTCTTAATATTAGTTAGTCCCAGGTTTTAAATATTAAACCTATTTATTTTCAAATAGTAAAAAAATCCCACGGGATAATTCGCTAATCTAAATCAACAAAATTTTGTGTATCAAATTCTTCTTTATTATAATTATTTAACACAATAGTTTGTAAAACAGATATTGGAACACAAAAAGATCAAAAGTCGGAAACTTTTGAGCCTTTATTAGAACTCCTTTTAGGTTTGAGAGTTTTATTCTTTGTGATAAAAGTATAACCAATTAATTTTATATTCAATTCATTGTATAGTGCTATTCACTTAGTTATGTTTTTAAATTTTTCTTTTTTGCGCCTTCTTCCACGTTTCAATTGATTAAGAGATAAATCAATTCTCATTGAG